GCATCCAAGCTGCCCATAAAAACCAAGCTCCGGATATACAAGATGTATATCCGGACTATTACCACCTACGCTGCTCCGGCCTGGTACGCGCTTCTGAGCGACACCCAGAGGCGGCGACTACAGGCTCAGCAGAACCTGTCATTAAGGACGATTGTCGGAGCAGGTCGTTACGTCCGGAATGACGTTATAGCGGCCGATCTGAAAGTCGAGACCATCACCGACTTCGTGGCCCGGTTAGCGCGCGGCATGTTTGACCGTGCCGATAACGGGCCACATGAACACCTGAACGGCTTTGCGCCGTTACACACCCGGCCACCGGACGGGCGACCTCTTCCAAGAGAACTCCTCTCTATATGTGATTAGAGAGTCGAATAACAACCCACAATGCCGCAGAAAGGCCAACTTAGACTTAAATAGATTACCTCTACAGATTACCTCCCTTTCCGTAGTCGGTGAACTACGGAAAGAAATTTCTTATCCGGCTACATTATAAATGTAGTTTAGCCATGCCAAGATAGGCAAAAAGTGACTGCCCCATAGTTATGGGGTATGAGGATATCCGGGCAATGGGGTATACCCCGAGGCCCGATACCTGCACGTACCTAGGTGCGTGTAGACGACATCAACTTAACTTATAAGTTATATCATGGGCACGGATACCCAAATAACAGAGGAGGCTATCAGGGCAAAGGGCTTCCCTATTAAATATGTTAAAGCCATACCACCACGTAGAGGCAGACCTGGATGCCTCTACTTTGCACAATTGGATCACCTGAGCCCGAAGCAGTTCCAGGAACTCTATAAAGTTGACGAGCTCCTCTACATGATAGGGGTCATCATCGAAGCCTGGCAAAGGAAAGCAGGACCGGCACAATGCCGCCGCTGCCAGGCTTTCGGGCACGCCTCCGCCAACTGCTTCAGGCCAGTAAAGTGTGTACGCTGTGCCAGGGAGCACATCGCCAGCCCTTGCCTTAGGGTTAGAAATGAAGAGCCGAAGTGAAGAGCCGAAGAAAAACATATAATTTCAACGAGGAAACCTTGTAATTTCGCGTTTTTTGTAATACTCCTCTTAACAAATGACTTTTGTTTTAATGAACATACATAAAATTTTCGGAAACATATTCTTATTAATTTTGACAGAATACATTGGTTATAAATGACTTTTATGGCCCTCTTCTAAAAAACAAGAATAGTTTCTAAATCAGTCGCCGAGCTTGTGGAAAATCAGCACTTAATATTACAATTAACAATTTTATTCATGCCGGCGAGAATCGAACTCATGTTGCTCACAAACAGCGATCACTAAGCTATTGGTCGCCACACACGGTCAGTTCAACTGATCATTCCAACCGATCAGTTCAAACTAAAACTGTTGATATTCTTTAAAATATTGGATTTTCGATATATCGATAAATAAACTCATATATAAAACTCCAATATTGATAAATTAATATACGAGGGGTGATCCAAAATTAATGATAATCGGTTACTTCAGGTCCACATAAAAATCCAAAAAAATATTTTTGGCTTGCTTATATACTCACTACGTCAGCGTAAAAAATCATATAAATAGATCACGATTTCCGGGAGATACATTCATTTGAATACGAACTGTCAGAGATAACATCAACATGGAGAAAAACGAAATTAGAGCTGTCATCAAGTACCTCTGTTTGAAAAAAATGTCTTTATAGTCAACCAAATCTAAGAAATACATTTTGACAGCTGTCAGATTTATTGCACCAAGCATGCCAACCAAAAAATGGGAACGTACAATATTCGATTCTTTAAAAAATCGATATCGGTTATTTAGAGTTGGTAATCATTTAGTTTGGTTTGAATAATACCAGAATAAATTTAAAACGGATAATTTAAAACACAAGATTTATCAGTTTCTTCGTATTTGTTGTTACTGTTTATTTCTAGAGGCACAGATATAAAAATTTAAGATTGAAACTAGATTAAAAAAATTATTCAATAATTTTCAGTAAAACTAGTAGATATGTCGTTGTTTATATTAATTATTATTAGATTTTCAATAATGCAGACAAAATTAATGTCTCTTTCAAAGTCATCCATAATAAATTTTTTTTTGTTTTTTCTACTACTTTTGCCCAATCATCCTTTGTGAAATGGGCATACGTTTCAACGAATATTTTTTTATAGCATTAGGTGACAAACGAGCACACATATTTACACATATTTATTCTCAATTCAGAATCAAAATGCAAATGCGTTGTCACCTGCATGGCATTCCATCTTAAGCTTCCGGGGCTTAAGATGAAATGCCTCGATTCCAGTAAAAAGGGTCTCCGGTTCTCTACACTCACCATACGAAACACAGCATCATTACGCTACTATTTTACGCTGGCATTTTGTGAGAGCATGGTAATGCCCCGGTGAGCCGACCCATTCGTGCTATAACTATAATATAGATGTAGCGTGGCTCTACCACGTACAAAAATTTATTATTGAAGAAACAGTTCAAAAAGTTAAAACCGAGTAACAAAATAAGAAGACAAACAAAAAATCACAAAATTACGCACAGTAAGCTCTGGAAACAGAAACAGAAACTTTTTTATTCAATATAGATTATGAATAATACTTATTGAAAGTCAATTTTTTAATTTACCACTGGTTCGCAAAAAATACCTTTGTCCTGGGAACAACCAGCAAGAAACCCAACGGGACTAGTTTAAAAAAAAATAAGAGCTTACAATCATGCGTGTTATAATTAACAACACAAAACAAATTAGAAATAGCTTGGTAGCGATCACCATTCCCAGGAGTTATTATCATCCATAAATTCCTTAATATTAAAATAACCCTTTTTATACAAACTTTGTTTAATAAAGTTTTTAAACTATGTGTACTTACGTCAAATATTGTATATTTTCTGGGATTTTGTTGTAAAAGCGTATACATCGACCCAAGAATGAATTACTGACTCTGTGGAGTCGAGTAACTGGTACCAAAATGGCGGGATATTGAAATTATGTATAATAGTGTATATAATTATAGTGGTTATTTTAGCACGGCCTTGTATATGAGTTTTTTGCCTACACAAATTTACTTTGACAAAGTAAAAAAAAAATAAACTTGTTTTATTCATGATTCATGTAATTTGAGGAATTTTGAAAATAAAAATTAAATTAAACAAATAATACATTAAAAAAATTAATGATTCTACTATTTGAAATTTTTTTACCGATTATTTGAATATTTTGCCGATCATTCGCATAACAACGAATTTTAATCATCCAAGCACTACGGTAATATGCATAGCGACATATCATTGAAACGACGTCAAGTAAAAAAAGTTAATACTGGTTATTTTTTAATATTTTGCTTTATTTGAAAAATTCAAATTTAAATTAGTGATAAAAAACGTGAAATATAGATAACTTCATAATTCTTCGGATTTACGTAAAAGGTTATTTTAAATTCTGTGAGTACGCTGGTGCAATATTATTGCGGAATGATTAATGTGAAACGTCAAAAGGTATTTCTTAGATTTGGTGGACTATAAAAGACATACACAGTGACTTAGTGGAAACATTGGGGGACTCTGCTCCTCCATATTCTACAGTTGCACGCTGGGCCAAGGAGTTTAAACTGGGCAGAACATCCACTGAAGATGAACATCGCGAAGGACGCCCATCCACGTCCCTCACTGGAAGACAACGTGAAAAAAGTTGAAGATGTTGTGTTGGCAGATCGAAGAGTGACCATCAGGCATGTAGCTGAGGTCACAGGGATCTCATATGGCAGCGTTCAAAGAATCCTTGCGAACGAGTTGCATATGAAAAAGGTCTCTGCGCGTTGGGTACCCAGAATGTTAACCGACGAGCAAAAGAAAAATCGAGTTGACATTTCGAGGGTCAATCTCGAAAAGTTCCAAGCAGATCAAGAAAATTTTTTGTTCTGTTTTGTGACTATGAACGAGACCTGGATCCACCATTTTGATCCTGAAACGAAACAACAATCGATGACTTGGAAGCGAGCCTCCTCACCGACGCCAAAGAAATTCAAAGTTTCAAGTTCGGCGGGAAAGGTTATGGCATCTGTTTTTTGGGACGCTCAAGGCATAATTATGGTGGAATATTTGGAAAAAAGTGCCAATATTACGGGCTCTTACTACGCAGACCAAATAAGAAGATTACGGGAGGCCATTAAGGAAAAAAGATGCGGCAAACTTCGAGCTGGAGTGCTGTTTCACCAAGACAACGCACCGGCTCACAAAGCCGCAGTTGCGATGGCTGCCATTCAAGAAACGGGATTCGAACTGCTCGAACACCCTCCCTATTCGCCAGATCTAGCTCCTAGTTACTTCTACCTCTTTCCTCGGCTCAAGGAACGCCTCCGAGGCAAGAAATTCGAAGACGATAGCGAAGTAATGGCCGCTGTTGAAGCGTTTTGGGAGGGTCAAGACAAAGAATTTTTTTCAAAGGGAATCCTGGGTTTAGAAAAAAGATGGACTAAATGTATTGATTTGTTAGGAGACTATGTAGAAAAATAAATTATTATTTTAACTTTAATTACCGTGTTTTATTTTCATTATCATTACTTTTGGATCACCCCTCGTACTTATACTAATCGATATATCGAAGATTCAATATTATAAAATATATCAACAGTTTTAGTTTGAACATATCAGTTGGAATGATCAGTTGAACTGACCGTGTGTGGTGTCCATAACATTATGATTTATTTTAATGTTTCAATAGTTTTAGAATATGATGGTAGGTGGTTAACAGCGATCCATTTCAAAAAGATGGCTTTAGTTTTGTTGTCAGTTATGGGGACTATGAAGAAGTGCCTCATAACCTGTATTATCCTCACTCTTTACTTTTCAAACCAGAACAAGGAAGTGGATGCAGTAATTAATACCAAAAGAATAATAAATAAATGAATTAAAATGAACTCCTATACACAAAAAGGCGTCTTAGGTCATTGACCTACTACAGGATAAAAAAAATTTTCAACTTAAGCCGACTTACAAGTCGCTGGTCCCGTTACAGGTAAAATTCCGACGTCCACGGGACCCTCCGCGACTTTCTTGGGACCGTGAACGATCGACTCGTTGCCGTCTTCATCTCTACGTTTTATTAAGAACTTTATATCGTGACTGTCAACACCAATTTCCCACCTGAAATAAAAATATCGAACTATTATTATACGGTAAGGTAAAATAAAGTTATAGTCCACATACGCCTCACGGTTTTAGGACTAGGAAATGTCCGCCGCTCTGCCCCAATACGTGTTGGCGGAGTTCACATGTCATCGAAATACTTTTTTTTTTATTACTCAGACTTGCAGGTTACCCGACAATGTTTTTTTTCACGCTGAGCTCTTGGTAAATCAGCACTTAAAATAGCAATTAACAATTTCATTGCTACCGGCGTGGGTCGAAGCCATTGCTCGCGTTCTGTACAATTTGATGCGAGCAGTTAACTTCTGAGATACCACGGATTATTTTATTGGGAAAAATATAAAATGAAGTATCCCTATAATGGAATATTTAATTTCCAAAATATGACTATTAAGAGCTTATGGAGAAAAAGAACGAATAGTCTCAATATATTGAAAGAGTTACAAAAGAGCTATGTTTAAGATGTTTAACTACTCGTACGGTATACTATAGTAGATTTGTCACCTCCAAGAAGTATGAATAAAATGAAATTCTTTACAGTCTTTAATTATACAGGCTCTATACGTTTCAGACTGGACCATAGCAGTGCAAGCGCTTGGCGGCATATATACGAGTAGGTATAGGGTTTTCTTTATAGGATAAGGGTGAAAAACGAGCATACAGTCCACCTGATGGTAAGTAGTTGCTGTGGCCCGTAGACTTCTACATATATTCTCGATTACGATTCAAAATGATGCGTTGTCAACCGTGAGAATTAAGACAGAATGCCTCGTTTCCAGTATAAGGGGTCTTGGTTTCTCCACACTCACCATACTAAACACGTGAGAGCGTGGTCCTTTCCCGTTCGCGCCATTCATGCTACAACTATACTACTAATATAACTGGAGCATTACTCAGCCACGTATAAAACTATTACCTACGGAGATAGACAGAAAAACAGTCGTACCACCTGAACTAGGTTATACCTAATATTGATTACAACGTACATTTTTTTTTTATAAAACTGAAGTGTTGAATGTACGAAAAATCCACCTAATGGTTAACGTCTATCGCAGTCACCTACGGCCAACTTCCAACAAAGATGGCCATAGATGCGTTGTCACCTCCGAAGAATAAGATGCTTCCCAGCCTGTAATTATTCGGGCCCTGTATACCCTTCAGACCGAAGCACAGCAGTGTAAGCTAGAAGGTGCCCTCACCACTTAGTTGTGTGTGTTACCTCAGAACTTTTTTCTAGATGAACTGATTTAGATAATTCTTTTTTTATTTGAAAGCTGATAGTTCTCATGTGGTCTTTAGGCTATTCCTTTATCTAATTTAATATTAATGTCATTACTTATTTTCTTTTTTTTAAACTTGCTAAATCACACCGCAAGCCTGCAGAACGCCGTAACGCACATAGGCAGTTGTCTTTTTGCCTTTCTGGCAGTGGTGAGGGGATTACGAAGGTTGAACGTAGGGAAGTTGGTATTTTCCACCGACTTCAAAAAAAGAGGAGATTCTCAATTAAACTGTATTTTTATGTGTGTTTTTTCTAGTGGACCGATTTTGGCTTGTTTTTTTTTATTTGAAAGCTGGTGCTTCGCATGTGGTCCCATATAAATTTGATCAAGATCTGACTAGTAATTTTTGAGATATCCTTAATAATGCGTACTTAATTGACTTCGACTACATTGATAATGTGCTCATTTTAGTTATATTGAAGTCAATTGTACAAAATTTTTAATTTTACCACTGTCAGTTGATTACAGTCATACGAACAAAATAATTTATTTGTTTAACTTTTATATTCGGGTAAGATCTGACGATTGATAAACCTGCCTTAAGTTAGTTACCAACTGTACAAGTAAAAGTAACCTATATTGAAATATCTTAAAATATTATAAAAATATATTTAGAAATCGTACTTTAAAACACTTTCGCCTTCCGTACACAATAAATCGACAAAGTGTTTTTCTCCAGTCTTGACAGTGACCCGCGTATACTCCTTGCTTTGTTCGGTTGGGGCGTGCTTTGAATAGTAACTTTTAGGAACTTTACCGCCCTGTTTCACCTGAAATATATTATAAAGTAATTAATTTAATAAAACCTAAAGATTATATGTAGTGTATTATATTTTCTTTGCGTAAGAGACAGTTGTTGCCCGATTGTTTCCCTGCTTTGCAAACACACTCTATTGAAAATGGATCACAAAATTTTTTATAAGTTAAACTTTAAAATCTATTTGTTTTTTTTACTGTTTGCCAAATGAGGAAGCATACAGTCGCTGACCGGGCTACGGAGAGGGCTATGAACAAGCGCACAGTTCCCTAATGTTAAGTGAATGCTGTGGCCCATAAACATCGACAATGATCCTCGATTAAGAATCAAAATAAAGACGAGATGTCACTCCCGAGGACTAAAATGGAATGCCTCGTTTCTATTAGAAAGGCTCTCCGGTTGTCTACACTCACCATACGAAACACAGCAGCATTGAGCTGCTATTCCACGTGGTCTTTCCCCGGTCGAGTGGTTCCATTCGTGCTAAACCAATAATATAACTGCACCATGGCTCTACTAGAACTAAAGTAACTTATATGGCTTATCACACCAGATAACTGAATTGGCAATAGACCAGCCAAGTCGCTCGAAAATCCTACAACCGAAGGAGAAGAAAGGTTCTCATGTTGCAGCCTCGTACCGGTAACCGGAGCTTAGGGCGTCGTCCAACTAGAAGTGGTGACGACCTGCTAAGACATGCTACCCGCATGTCGATGGATGAAAATTGAAAATGACTCAGGGCTGTGTTTTGTCCTTGGTGGATGTTTAGCAGTGGGCAGAATAGAGCTGATCTCCTCTTACATCCGAGAGGCCTTGTACCCATCAGCCGACATAGTCAGATTAAATTATTTATAGGCTATTTCTTTATCTAATTTAATATTAATGGCATTACTTATTTTCTTTCTTTTTTTAACTTGCTAAATCACGCCGCAAGTCTGCAGAGCGCCGTAAGGCAAATAGGCAGTGGCCTTTTTGCCTTTGTGTTAATCCAGTTTTGGCAATGGTGAGGGGCTTACGAAGGTTGAACGTAGGGAAGTTGGTATTTTCAACCGACTTTTAAAAAAGGAGGAGGTTTTTAATTCGACTATTTTTTTCCTCAGAACATTTTTCAAGGTGGACCGATTTTGACGATTCTTTTTTTATAATTAATCTCTTTCTCTTATTTATTAAATTTTTTTATATAAGTTTAATCAAGATATTAACAGTACGTCTTAGTTATCCTTAATAATGCTTATTTAATCGACTTCTATTACATTGATGATGCTCTCATTTTATTTAAATTGAAGTCGGTGGTACAAATTTTTTAATTTTACCACTCGTAGTGAAAATATTATTACCATGAGGCTGCATCTAGGATCACCATTTTCATCCACCAAAGTGCCACCATAGTGCGCGGGTAGCTGATCCCTGTCGATCAGTTCCAGTACTTGGGGCTGCCATTTCTTCGTGTCGGTGCCGTATATTTTGATCTTGGATATCGTGTATTCATGCATGAATTTCTTTACTACGGAGAACGCTAATGAGAACACTTTAGGGGCTGAAATAAATTAATTTTAATTCTGAATGACATAAGAAAATGTTATAAATGGCAATGTTATTTTTTTTTAAATTCGTTTTTACAGTAATGAAAACTGAGGAGTAAATTATCTATGCAATTACGAATTTCGGTATAATTATCTCATACTGGCTTTGCCTGGCTAGGATCTATTAATGTAGTATTATTTTAACAATATTTTTTTTAAATAAAGATTGCCAATATTTTCGGGAAATAAATATAGCCTAGGTCGCTTCAAGCGTTGCCCTCTGTCTGTTCGTGGAGTTTCATTACAATCGGCTACCGATAAGCTCGGACAGTCAGACTATCAAAATAACCTCCTCAGCAAGGCAGTTATTTCGATATAACAGATATATACTTAAATTTTATTTAAATATACATTTATATAATACATAGGCACATATACAACATGTAACAAAAACCCTGTGGTTCCCGTTAACTGCGTTATCAGAATCAGTATCCAAGCATATAGAAATGATTTATTTCAAAAAAAAATTAATTACATTTAAAAAAATAATTTTAATGAAAAAAATATAATTTGCAAATTAATGTGTTTTATTATCTCTGCATTGGCCGAGGAGTAAGAGGATTGTCAAAGACCCCGCATTACCGATACTCGTGTGAGTTAGAGGAAATAAAACCACATAAAATATGCAAATTAACTTTTTTTCATTAAAGTTTTCTTTTAAATGTATTTTTTTGAAAAAAAAATTCTATAAGCTTGGATACAGATTCTGATTACACACTTAACGGGAACCACAGGGTTTTTGTTACATATTGTATCTATAGATCTAAAGCAGGTGCGAAATTACTTTGAAAAACACAAATTTTGAAACGCTTTGCAAGGGGATTGGCGATCGTATTTCTATTGCCAGTCTGCGTATGCTAAACGAGATGGTTACTCCGGCATGTTTCGGCATGAGATCTTTCTGCCATATCATTGATGTTAGGTTCATCAATATGATAACTGTAGACATTCCTTATAACATGATTATTTAAAGCGATGAATCTAACAATGAAACTTTTATAAAACTTGAATAGAAATGAGTTCGAACTTAAATTTCTGAGTAACATAGATTGATTTAAAATCAAAATATCTACAAAATATGTAGATAAATACGCTAACCGTTAACAATGAAGCAAGTCTTCAATATTTCGGGATAATTGGCTTCGTATATCTGAAGCAGCGTGAACACCATCTCCGCGGCCGGTTTCCATGCGTATTGCCGGATGTTGAAGCCTTCAAGGTCGAACAGTACTGTTACCTGTGGTAGGTAAAATTTGTTGAAGATAATAAATTACAATGATTTATGATGATACCACCCAACCTTGATATATTTTAAACAAGAGCTCAGGTTAAAAGGCCTTTGGCTAGAAAACATTTTTTTTAAATTATTCCAATGAACTCATGCATAGTTCAGCTTATTTATAAATAACTCCTAAGCCTAAGGTTTTTGTGTTGGTGCACTTTTTATAAAACTACAGTCCTCCTGATGATAAGTGGCTTCTGCTGTTCAAGGACGCCGTTCGAAGGCTACAAATATCTTGTCACCCCTGAGGACCAAGATGAAATGCCTTTTACGATATTGTAGGCAGCTGATACATTCCTTTTTGTTATAATTTCCACATAAACATACGACTTATATGTGCTAGACCAACATGGAACGAAAAAACAATTATATTACATCTAATATATAAAAAAATTATGTTTTTTTGTGTCAAGGTACCTAATAGGCTACGGCAAAAGGTACTCTGTGGGCTACGGGTATGTACCAAAATGGAACCCAGTGTGCTGTCCAATGCAAATGACGTCATGAATCGACGCTATACTGGTGATTCGTTCCAAAACACAGGACAGTATATGACGTCATACATTTACGTCATATTGGAAAAGTGTTGGCGATTATTTTGTCATTTTGTGCTCCAAAAATCATTATATCCTCCTAATGAAGATACCAGCAATTATTCTATAATTTTTTGTATTTGAATAAACAAAAACAAATTCTGGCATGCTTCATTCAGCGCACACACAATTAAAAATTGTTTTATTGTGGCCGGATATCCGACGCAATATGGCGGCGGAACGCCAGTACAATATAGTGTCAATTGATGACGTGATTTGTATTCGGCAATATACTGAAAACGTTTCGGAACATACCCAATACCCATAGTACAATTAACTTACAGTAGCTGGCGCGCGTATCGTACCGACAAATTTATTTGAAAGTTATATATCATTAAACTTCAATGAATGTATTATCATTCCTAATTAAAGAATATATCGATGGTCTAGAAGACCAACATGGTAATTACGGACCAGCCAATTTTTCAGGAGGACTGTTTTTAATGATTCAAAACTTCTAGATACTATAACTTAAAATTGGTCATTGAAACTGTGTTTATACTGCCCATAATTAGTTAGGGTATTTATCTATATACTTAATTATCATAAATTCAAACATCAATTATCTAAAATATTCTATAAAAAATACCAAAATAGCAAAAAAGGTTACCACTTAGTACGTTTGTACACAAACTTTATATAATATTGTTCACTTAACATTTTCGTGTTTTGTATATTAATTTAGGGTATAATGAAGAATTTGGTACCGATGTATTAAAAAAATAATTACATATAAAAGTTTCTTTATTACCAAACAAATCAAACATGTAAGTATTATGTTAGTATTATTTAAGTATTAAAACTGTAAATTTCTACGGTCAGTCATCGGACTCTGAGCCTGAACAATCGTTAATTATATTTTCTTCATCAATAAAAGGAATGTTAGTGTAATAATCAACGTAGTCTTTTGGGATCACGCCATCATTCAACAGCGTCATCAAATCCTTCTTCTTAGCCTTTGAAATTGGCATCTGAGAATTGTATGCTTTTTTTTAACGGCTTGTATAAACTAGAAATACTTCATCCCTTTTTCTTCTTTTTTACATGCAGCAATGTCAATTTCTTTGAAAGTCGTATTAGTTTATATTTGAAAAATACCGATCCTGGAGACTCCTTTCTTACTGCAACTTATATCCATTTGATGGTCATCCACTTTACTGTTTCATTATTTTTGTTTTTTACCATGTTGCAATTCAATGACTTTTCTAAAGCTTTTAAATCATAGAAATCGGGGTACCTCACCATGATCACATCGTAAGGTTTGGGTCTGGATCTCGTAGAACTGACAATTAAAGCGTACTCTCTTGCAGTAAATATTTTTTATGCTTTCGGGCACGCTCTATACTTGCATGTATAGAGTCAGCCTCCAGGTACGAATGGCCAGATACCATGTATTTAAGGTTAACTGTTTTCAAACGAGGAACATTTATTACGGCATACATTGCTGCCAATGTGACATATTTGTTGCGATTTTGACCACTGCAGGTGTCTGAAAAAGATGTAACAGTTTTTACGTTTCCATCAAGTACTTAAGTAAAATTGAACCAACTTCAGTGCTGCCTTTTTTCCGTTGCTTTCGTCCCACATATAACATAGTCCTGTAATTTGATAATTATCTAAAATAGTAAAATTGTAGATAGAAAATTTCCGTAAGTAGTAAAATTTAGAGTCAGCGGTGTGAGGCAGTGACAATATTGCCTGCAAGTCAAATGTTATTGCACGCTTCGTACCATCGCCTTCTATGCTTTCTTTCTTGTATGCCGTCATTTCCAAAGATTCTTTTTCTCTTGCTTTATGTTCGTCATAGTCTCGTTGTAAACTGGTTTTGTCTTCAGCACACTTGTACACATTGCATTTAGTGCACTGGTCCTTTTTTTGGTTTGTAAAATGCTAGGTGGGCCATAAGATTTGAAAATCTTCTCGTAAACATACAAAGAAACATCCTGTTTCTTACATTTATTTCTGGACAGAATTCTTCTTATATTTCTTTCTGGACAGAATTTTTCTTTGTACTATTTATATAAGCGAGCCATATTAAGGTCACTCTCCAAATATATTTTTTTGGAGTCTTTTCTGCAATAGTGGGACTCGATTCTAGGAAACATGTCAATATGCAGTTTAACAAATTGTTTCATTGCTTCTGAAGTTTTGTTTACAGGAATAAATCCCTGTCGTAGATCAGGACCCACGTAAATGCAATTTGGTCCCATCTGTTTAGTGCAAGTACTAATTACACTTCCACTTATAACAAAAGTGTTGCAAAAAAATTTTTGACAAACCGTGTCTACCTGTGTTTTCGTGATAAAGAAAATACTGTCTAGACATAGCGCGTCGTTTTGTGGCTGCAAACGTTATAAGTTGAATATTTGCGTGTTTTATAAGAGTTTAAAGGTAAATTTTTTGATATTTGCATTCTCCAAGTCCCCAAAAATTATGACAGAGATCAGCTCTTACATTTTCAGGAAAATTTTCATTGCATTTGTATCTACATTTACTGCAATCAGTAGGAACACAGTTTTTTGCGCTAACAATGATACCCTTTCTGTTGATATAAGATTTACCGCTTTGACGTTTGTTTTTTGCTATATTTCTCTTCCACGTGTCTGCGTTTGCTTTTTTACTTTTTTTTTCGGACATTTGTTTCCTCAATTTCGTCCCGAGATGTATCAGATGAAGTTGCAGGTTTGTTATTTTCTGGATGGTAAGACGATTCAGAATCTACGTAAGGGGAATCATTTGAGACTGACAATTGAAGATCGAGAACTATTTTTTGTACTAGGAAGTGGTGACTGTCTAGATTTGCGTGATCCTTGCAAAGGAATCGATGAAGTGTTAATTTGTGGTTCAAAAGTAGTGCTAAAAGCAATATATAGATCATTAGCTGTGGAAGCGGTTTCTTTAAGAGCGTCGGCGGATGCTAGTAATGGAGGCGGCGGCATCCATCATATTTGTGTGAAATTCGGTGTTTACTGCAGGCGAAGAAGACGGTACCGAGGCAGCAAAGTCGTTTTGTACATCACCGTCGACATCGGGGATTTTCGTTTGAACATCGGTCGTTTTCGTTGGAAACGCCGACACGTACAAATAACTTTAGTACTCTCGGGCTCCTGTTGTTTACTTAGAACTTTGTTGTTAAATCATTTACAATATTTGTCTACACTGACCTAGTATTTTTAAAGCACTTAATATTTTTTATTATTTGCTGACGAGTTTTCAGTAGTATTATGATCACTTAAACCATTTGTCTACCGGCACTTGAAAAGATTTACATCATTTAATATAATTGGGAATCGAAAGTTAAAAAATGACAAACGCAATAAAAATATTTAGCTTATTTGTCAACCATGGTAAACACAAGCGAAATGTCATAAATCTATTTAGCGTTTTTTGTAGTTAAACTGATGGTAAATAACTGCCATTACTTTTTTTTGGCTTCAAAATGACATCACTTACTATGAATGTACAAATACAGTTTAGACAGAAAGAGACGGAATAATGTCATTTGGATGAGTGGGATCCGTAGAGCATGCTCATTTAATACATTTGGCATTAAAATGTTAAATTATCAAAATTTTGTAATTACCATGTTTGTCTTCTAGACCATCGATATAACTCTTCCAAATTGAAAACGATATATTCATAATTGTTTATACTGCGGCAGGAATGCACCGGTTACTAGCTTTGTAGTAATTAATAAAGACAGAAAGTGATCAGACATTACAGAGTTCTTTCACACACAGACACTGGACAATTACTTCAAATAATCTAATAAATATACACAAACATACACACGAACATATTAACAGTCACACACACACATAGGTACATACGTCACAGACATAAATGGTTTTTATTTTTTATTTCTATGTAACCTGTTAATTCGCTCTATATAATATTATTTCTAACCATATGTGATCTCTGTATAATATTATAATAATTGCCAAGTAAAGTAGAGGGAGTGAGGGAGCTTGTGATCTGTAATACAGGTCTTTGAACCTCTACGGGCACCAGTCTCCTAAGAATGACATTATATTGTTAGGTACAATAGAGATGTAACACAATGTATCTTCCAGCTCGTTTGTGGTGAGAAATAAATAATTTTTTTTTAAAAACATTACAGAGTCAGAAAGTAAAAGTTAGATAATAAGTTATTGCTAGTGATAGTCAGACTATATATGAACGTCTGCTGGCCACTCCATGCGTATTGTAAGTTATAAGGTTCTAATTTCTATGAGAATAAAATGAAATCATAGCTGCGATGTTAATTATATCTGTCCAAATATTTTCATTGTTATTTGTGATTTATGTAAGTATTTGGTAACGGCTGAAAAAAAAATATAAAACATTACTTGATGGGGAAAGCTTGCGCACCCCGTAGGAATCCGATTACTAGACTTTCAGATTTTCATGTTAGAAAAGTGCTGGTAGGTTTTCATGACATGGTTCTTTGAATGATGACATTCGAAGACCTCTTACCCTATAAAGATTCCCTCGGTTTTAGAGCCTCGCGGAATATTTACCGACCCGGACCCGACGGTATGGCATTGTTTCCTTGGGACAGAGGCAAAGCCCTAGTATGCGATACTACTTACGTTGACACTTTAGCAGCTTCTCATCTCAGGGGTACCTCGTTTAGGGCTGGGGTGGCATCAGAATCAGCAGAACTAATAGGCGCAAATATAGGTCTCTGAGAGATGACTACACATTTGTGCCTTTTGCTGTACAGACTGTCGGTCCGTGGGGTGTACGTGGAGTCCACGTGTGCATGACTAGTAATCGCTGCTGGTGTTATGAGGACTGGTACTTTTCTATCGCTTTTCTTTCGCTCAATAAAGCTATACTTAGCCTAGAGAGAAAACCTAGTAACATGCAATTTTCTCCATGTCTCAACTTCACTTGCACGCGGTGCACCCTGTTGATCAGTAGACGAGGCAGTGCTGACCGACTGATGGCGGGGATTGAACTCGGATTGCTGGTGTATTTGTGAGTGCTTATCCCACAAGGTGTCACGGCTGTTATTTGTTGGTTATAAATTAAAAGTACCGTACAAGAAGAGCCTTACCTTGAGTGCAGCGGGTCCGTGTTCTAAGGACTGTTTCCTCGCACTAGCTAGGTAATTTTCAAGATGGCGCAGTATCATGCGGATGATATCTGTCCTCGTGACGGAGTGCAGCATTCCCCACACGTCCAAGCCCATGAACGGAACTATTATAACTGTAAAGTTGAAAAAATATTATATAATAATCAAGGCAATGCAGCTTATCTAGATTTGAAATAAATAAGTTTTATGCCCAAATACTCAAATGCTACTCAATTATAAGATGCCGTTAAGTCTGGTGCTGTCCCTATTACTTTAGGTCAAAGAGATTGTGACACTACAACACTTAACGACATCTTAAAATTGAATATCGTTTGAGTATTTGACCATTAGTACCTATACCTAATATACTTTGAACTATGCACGTTAATGTTTGTAAGCTTTTTTTATAGGATAGGAGTAACAAACGAGCACGCAGATATAATTAGTTGCTGTGGCCCTTAGACATTTACATATATTCTCGATAACGAATCAAAATGCAAATGCGTTGCCATCCGTGAGGATTTAGGTGGAATGCCTCGTTTCCAGTAAAAAGGGTCTCCGGTTCTCTACACTCTAAACTATACGAAAGACAGCAGCGTTAAGCTGCTATTTTACGCTAATATTCTGTGAGGGCGTGGTCCTTCCCCGGTAAAGCCGACACAGTCGTGCTACAACTATACCACGTCTATACAATAAAGAAAATTTAATATGGAAAATTCCTACGCGGCGGGTTACATCGAACTCTTAACGATTAAAACCTGATGGTGTTCCGTCTTTGCCTCATATTGGCAGAACCACGAGAACGCTTTCGCACACACCCGCGGTCGCTCCAGTGCCGGCCACTCCATTACGGCCTCTGCTCGGGAGAGGACCACTCCTCCCCTTTCTCCTTGTTAGGTAAAGTGTACCAGACCACCAGGCATACCTTCCTTCGCAGCCTCTAACTCTAAACTCTAACCCCACCTGCGTAGCAGACACCACCGAGTCCGGTGTGCAAAGGGTATGTGGCCAGGGAAATCGAGCTCTCGAAAGTCTTCCTGACCCCAGCGGATCAGGTCTATGGCTTTGGTGTCATCCAAGTTTTAAGCCAGGGAAATTAAGAAGCGGGGCCTCGCAATACCGACTCTCCTCTCTCCCTAAGACTCCCTCAACAGCGGCGGGAAGGGTGAGAGGACACCAGTCTCGCCACAGTCCCCTAACACGCATCCGAAGAGGACTAGGCAAGCCCACTGAAGGGGACACAGTGGGTGACCAAGGTATGGCTAAGTCCTTCGAACACAACATTGCGAGAACCTGTTCGCGGGGGCAGGATGTTTTGTTTTTATAGAAGAGATGGCAGAAGATCATATTATAGTTCACTGATGGTGTACCGTCCACGTCGTTTTTATAGGGGAGGAGGCAAACGAGCATGCGGCTCACCTGATGTTAAGTGACTACCGCCGCCCATGATCAACCGCAACACCAGGGGAATTGCAGGTGCGTTGCCAGCCTTTTAGAAAGGAGTAAGCTCTTTCCTTGAAGGTCCCTAAAGCGTATCGGTCCGGAAAAATCGCCGGTGATAAACCCACATTCCACAGGGATGTCGTACGTGGAAGAAAACTCCTAGTGAAACGTACAGTGGTGGACCGCCAAGCATCCAGACGGTGTGATGGTATCGGGAATTAATTAATTAATTAAATATTTTTTATTGCATACCATACAAAAATTACAGATTATATACCTATACAAAAGAAGTATGCAATAGGCGGTCTTATTGCTGATAGCAATTTCTTCCAGACAACCAATTAATGGACAGGATTACACGAAGATGACAGGGGTAGGGCAAATTGGTGTGATAAAAATAATACACATTTTATATATATAATAAACAAACCTACTACAAATATAAATTCATACAAAAAATAAAAATATATAACATATTTAATTATGTAATTATAATTAATGGCTAGAGTGGGAGCGCAGTAGTGCTAGGTAATGATACTTTACTAGGTTTTAAATACCGGTAGGGATTGTGCGCGCTTAACTACCAATGGGAGTTCATTCCATAAACGAACGGCCTGTACAGTAAAAGACTTGTTCATATATTTAATATTTTCAATATGCTCTTTTAATTATTTTTTTAATTAACCATCGAACAATCCACCTGATGGTACGAGTTGGCTATTGCACACCAAGGACATCTGCAACAAACATCAAACACAGAAGCTGCAGGCGTCTTTGTCATTACGGTGTCATTACTGAAGACTAATATGAATCGCCTCTTAACCAGTAATTACAGTTATATAAGAGCCGTGGTAGCTCAGTGGTTAACGCTCGCTGTAAATATAACAGAACGCGAGTAACCCGGGTTCGATCCCCGCCGGCACCAATGAAATTGTTAATTACAATTTTAAGTGCTGATTTACCACGTGCTCGGCGGTGAAGGAAAACATCGTGAGGAAACCTGCATGTCTGAGGAATAAGAAAAAAAAATATTTCGAGGACATGTGAAGTTCGTCAACACGCATTTGGGCAGCGCGGCGGACACTTCCTTGCCCTAAACCCTCTCAGAAATGAGGGGAGGCCTGAGCCCAGCAGTGGGACGTATATAGGCTGTAACTTTTGACTTTTACAGTTATATAGTTTTTTATAACCTTAAGACTAATACAGTACTGTACGAATTGCTCTCATTTTTGCAGGCAGGCAAAAATAAGTAAGAGTGTTAAAAAGGACGGGACGGTAGACTTCTACGTTGAAAAGGAGTTTTACCAACTTTACCCGTTCTAACAGAACACGTAATACTCACTTGGTGATCCCTCTTTATCAAAGCCCGTCGTGCCGCTGGGGAAATACTTCTGAAGCGGTTCTGGAGCCTGCCACGTCTCAAGTGTAGTATCAATACCCCACTTCTCACGCCATATCAGCGACTACAAAAAGTTTATAAAGCATAATGCTAACATTAATGTGGTTGCAATATATTTAGTACGAGTAACATACAATTTTCTTCAAGTGAGAAACGAGCACACAGTCCAACTGATAGTAAGTGAATACACATAGACATCAAAAAAAAAAATATATATATATACAACGCAGTGTACTGTCCAATGCAAATGACGTCATGAATCGACGCTATACTGGTGATTCGTTCCAAAACTTTGGACAGTATATGACGTCATACTTTTGCGCCATTTGGAAAAGTGTTGGCGATTATTTTGTCATTTTGTGCTCCAAAAATCATTATATCCTCCTAATGGATATACCATCAATTATTCTATAATTTTTTGTATTTGAATAAATAGAAACAAATTCTGGCATGCTTCATTCGCCAAATACACAATTAAAAATTGTTTTATTATGGCCGGATATCCGACACAATATAGAGGCGGCACGCTAGTACAATAAAGTGTCAAATGATACGTCATTTGCATTGGACAGTACACTGCGTTGTATTTCGGAACATACACTATATATATATATATATATATATATTTGATTAAAAAACAAAATGCAAATGCGTTGTCACCCCGAGGGCTGTTTGGTGTCGCGATGCCTAGTTTCCAGTAATAAGGGTCTTCGGTTCTCTGCATTCACCATACAAAACACAGCAATATTAAGCTGCTATTTTATGCTGGTATTATATAGACGTGCTCCTTCCCCGGTCAAGCCCACCCATTTGTGCTACAGACACAATATACCCACCCCTTGCCAGAACATTTTATTTTGTTTTTATTAATAATCTCATGCAAATCTCAAAAATTTAAAATAAAAAAATATTACGACGCATTATTTTGCACACCGTACATTGACAATTACGTCATCGGCCCAGGTCTCAAGTTAATTCGTACGAGTTATATATATACTTTAATATATTTACATTTTATTTATGTATAATGTTTCGCACCTGCCAACAATTGTGTTTGGCACCCAGGGTTGACTGGGAGGAATACCACATGGCATTAAGTCCGCCCTATGTACCCTTTAGCTTTAGGTGTTACATTTAAGATTTTAAATAAATAATATCATTTGAGTTTTCATTATATTTATTCAATAAATTACTGTAATACTATACTAAACTATACTATACTAACAAGTTAAAAACCTATGTTTCAAGTGAAATATTAAATTTTAAATTAATTAGTGCAGAGTTAAAGAAGCTTATTTGGAATATACATATTACTTTATTTAGGTTAAAGTTGTACAATCTAAAATATATACAAGGGATGCTCACATCACGTAGCATTTTCTCTGCTGCTTCCGGATCCCATTGTCTAGCTGAAACAAAATTAATCTCGTTATTCGATGTGTGGTTGTGGAGTAAAACACTTGATATTAATGACTTCTATATGATTATATAGAATTATATTATATAGAAATAATGAAGATTCATTTTCATCAACACGATAATGGTTGGTTGGTGGTATATATGGATACTGCAGCTATATTAGTTGTAGCACGAACGGGTCGGCTCCACCGGGGAAGGACCACGCTCTCACAGAATACCAGCGTAAAATAGCAGCTAAACGCTGCTGTGTTTCGTATGGTGAGTGTAGAGAACCGAAGATCAATTTTACTGAAAACGAGGCATCAAAGTCCTCACTCGTGACTACATATCTGCATTTCGATTCGTAATCGAGGGTAGATGTAGATGTCTATGGACCACAGCAAACACTTACCACCAGGTAGGTGGACTGTGTGCTCGTTTACAAAAAAAATCCTCTTCCTAAATATGAACGATTTGTCATAAACGTTATTCTTGACAGGTGATCAGATCTTAGAGATATTTCACGTAGTCCCTTACAATAGTTAGGGCTTACAACTTTTTGGAAGATATGGGCTAATTATAGATTCAATTTTTTTTTAAATAATAATTCACCTTATACAGGGTTATTTTTCTAAGAGTAGCCAAATCTTAAACTTGAGTTCAAATAAATAAATAATGTTATAACGTTTTTGCAGTTTTTGAAAATACGAGTAAATAAGGCATCTACTTTTATTTGAAATTATGCCAAATTAAATGTGTTTTATGCAACAACGTTTTTGCCTACCAATTGACCCTTACGAATGTGCAGTTATATCAATTTAAATTTAAAAACGCACTGTCAAATTTACGGTAAATCACGGTAAGCTTTTCTTATTGCATTAAACTAAAAATATTTGAATTTCTCACCTCTTAGCCACCGTAAAAGATAATGATCATTATGCTCGGGTTTCAAAACGTCTCGAACACTTCGACGAAACTGAAACAAGAAAACGTTACATCAAATTAAAAAAAAAAACTATAAATATTGTATTATATCTAATAAAGTATTAAAAAAAATGTAATTTCTATAACATACCACTACATTTTTTTAATTAAATAATTGGTAAATATGTGCACTGGTATAAAACGTAAGGCATAGAAAAGGCATAGAGTATATGTATAATCACCACGTATTTTACCACATAACTAACATAGTAATTAACCAAAAATTCTTCATTCCGTTAATACTCATAACATTAAATAAAGCAGGATAACAAAAATCCTCAGAACAATAACTATAGCATAGGTATTTTTTATAGGATAGGATGACAAACGAGCTCACAGTACACCTGATGGTAAGTGGTTGCTGTGCCCCATAGACATCTACATATATCCTCAATCAAAATGCAGATGCGTTGTCACCCGTGAGGACTAAGATGGAATGCCTCTTTACCAATTAAAAGGGTCTCCGGTTCTCTACACATACGAAAAACATCAGTGTTAAGCTGCTATTTTACGCTGGTATTCTGTGAGGGCGTGGTCCTTCCCCGATAGGACCGACCCATTCGTGCTACAACTATGCTACTAATATAGCTGCAGCATGTCTCTACCAAGTATAATATTTCCACGTATATTGTGACGACTGACGAGCACAAATTAAAGTGTTTGTGTCTTGGTTAAAGTATCATACGTTTGTTGTGTCTTGTTCGCCAGACCTACTTGTACGTTGCTAGGAAACGCTACTGACATAATAGTTTTTCGAATGTCACTCAAGAACTTAAGACAAATCGGTGCTTTTATAAATACAGTTCATAATAATACATACCTAATATATTATTTTTAAATGTATATAGAAAGCTGGTAAGTAAATCATGGCGGAAGGCGATAATGTATCAGCATACAGTATAGAGGGAGGCCAAGACACTGTCGGCTTGCCGCGAATTGTAATGGTTACGGAAGGTTCGGATACATCAGCTTCATCACCATCTTCAACAACATCTTCTGAAGACAACTGGGCGGATTTGATCAAGTCCTCGGAAATACCACCAGAATACTGGCATATACAAAAACTAGTGAAATATATGAAGGCTGGAAATCAAACAGCTACGACGGTCGCTCTCTCTTGCTTAAAAGATCACGATTTAACAGTAGAAGTTAACCAAAGAGCGATTCAGGAAATCGGAGGACTCGAACTTTTAGTTAATTTACTGGAAACAAGAGATCTTTGTTGTATTCTGGGCAGCTTGAGGGTTCTCAAAGATATAACGCCAAACATTGAAATAAGAAAAAAGGTAACTGATTTAGGTGCGATCCCCCTGCTTGTCGGCTTACTGTCAGATCCCGCTAAAGATGTGCAAATATTAGCAGCTGAAACTATAGCAAATTTAGGCAGAATTCGCAAAAGTAGGAAATTCTGCAGAAAGTTTGGTGGAATACCGAAATTAATTGATTTGTTAGATGTCAAAGAGAGGTAATTTCGTATTTTACTTTATAAAATGGAAAAGATTTACATTTACGTTTTGTTACAGTATTAACTTATTTTGTTCATTTAATGTTATTTGTTAAATAATTAGATATCTACTAACGCCTCGAAAAGAACTAAACAAAGATGAGACGCAATTCCTTGACATTGCACGTGCTGGTGCTAAGGCTTTGTGGTCAATGTCTTCATCACAAAGAAACCGCGAGGCTATGAGGAAATTTGGTATGATACCTTTGATGGCTCGTTTGCTCAAGACGGTGCATCTTGATGTTGCTGTGCCGGCAGTCGGTTTACTGCAGATGTGCGCCAATGAAACGTCTTTCCAATTGGCCATACAGACCGAAAAGATGGTCGATGATTTAATCAAACATTTGGCAAATGAGGATAAAGATTTAAAGGTATAATTTAATGTAAAAGAAAACAATTTATTTAAGTCAGACGATCATAGTTCTTGGTGTTTGTTTTAGACTTATTGCAGTTTAGCGATATACAAATGTGCTAGCGATGCTATTACAAGGGATATGATACGGGAAGCCGGAGGTTTAGAACTCTTGATAGAGGCGGCGCAAGATAGCAGTAATAGAACGAACAAGCCTTTAATGGCCGCCGTGACGGGAGCTCTTTGGAAATGTGCCAATAGCGACGCCAGCGTGAAGAAGTTGGATAGTCTTGGAGCAGTTCCCATATTGGTTCGGTTGCTTGATGATGAAAACGATGGGGTACTGACTAACGTTGCTGGAGCATTAGCAGAATGTGCAAAATTTCCACCTAATAGAGAAAAAATACGCACCGCAGGCGGAATACCATTACTAAGTAAGTATGACAGGAATAAAATAGAAAGAGATTTTGAAAATTGTAGTAAAAGACCTGTCAGCATCTCAAATATATGATATGAATCCATCACTAAGTGGTATCTCGACTACTCTAGTACTCCTAAATCGTACTCATAATGTTTTTAGCTGTACCTGGCTAAAGTTAGTAAGTTGGAAAACTATAGTTATAACTATGAAACATACGTCTATTGCGATTTATTTATAATCTAGTTGTAAGTTTAAGTAAACATCTTCGTCTTTATCATCAGCCCCTAATAGTCCACTGTTGGGCTTATATTCACTCTATCTCTCTTTTTACAGAGAGATTTGTCTTAATAGTCACGGTATGCAGGCGAAATGATGTAAGTCCGACGGAAACGCGATAGTTATAGCGCCACCAACCGAAAGAGTATAAGATTTTCTTGACATTGCCCATACATCATACATCAAAAGAGGGCACCTCTTTCGACGTCCGCGCTATTAAATCGGGTGATGGATTCCCTTATGCAGCAACCACATCGCAAGTGCACCTTTTTGACTAAGTACAATGCGTTTAACTTAAACGATTTCCCTTCAAATCATCACAAATACATTAAATAAACGAGCATACATAATGATCTTTAACAAACTACTCTGCTTGATATTGGCACGCTGAATGCTGTATTACGGCTGCAGCATGACTGGTTTGGCTTTATCGAACAAGGGTCTCGGTCGTACAGAATATCAGCTTAAAGTAGTAGGTAATTCTCTTATGTTGCTTATTTTACTGGTATATAAAAAATATGGATGTCAAAGGTGACAACGCGTTAAATTTAGATTTTTAAATGTAAGATATAAGTATATAGAGATGTCTATGTACCATAGACATCTCTATATACTTATATCAGTAAATGGATGCTATTTACTATTTGCCAGCATTTAGCTTTCCGTCTGATTACAGTGTGTGTAATGTCTTCAAAGCAAAAGTAAAAACACTGATCCCACGTTGGGATGGTAGTCAAGCACTTATAATAGTTAAAAAAAACGGTGATCTATGTGCTAGTTCATCGCCCTTTCTTCAATTTAAGAAGAAACTTATGGAAACTGTAGTTTTTATTTCAAATATTTTAGCTCTTTTATACTAATACATTTATCTTTGAAGAAATATTAGGAATTTCTGGATCATGGAGACGTTTCACGCACATGAATCGAACATAAACAAATATTCACGGCCAAAACAATTATTTTACAGCACCAGTTCTGCTGCACTCAGCCGCAGTTCTATTACTGTGTAATGTTAGTGCTGTTAGCCTTTTGGCTTTTAAAACTTGCACACTTCAGATGGCCGTTCTGAATCAGACGGTTTTTCAGCAATACTAATACATCGGCTGCAATGCCTTAGCAAATTAAAGCTATTTGTTTTAGCTATTACAATTTACAGATTACGATTATAAATGTTAAATAATAGCTATTACCATGTATCAAAACACCTATTTAAACAATGATTTAATACCATTTTATTCACCAGTACACCACTTAAACAACACCCATAAACCATTATTGGAAAACGTGCCCCTAGTACTAATGGAATGCGCTAAAGAACAAAATTGCATGACGGAAATAGACGAATTAGACGGAGTGAGATTAATCTGGTCTTTACTGAAAAACGACTCAAAGAAGGTGCAGACTAACGCGGCATTAGCTTTAAGTCCATGCGTGCAACATGCCACGGATTCAGGCGAGATGGTCCGGTCATTTGTGGGTGCTTTGGAGTTGGCTGTGGATTTGTTGGACTCTGACGACCACAATGTTTTGTCGGCGGTGTGCGCAGCGATCGCCACAATAGCCAGGGACCATGAGAATTTGGCCGTCATCTCCGATCACGGTGTGGTGGCTAAGCTCTCTAAATTGGGTAAGTCATCCAGTCAATTACGAATCTTTTGTAAATACAACTGTCGGGTGTAGGTACTTACTACATATTTATATATAATAAATATATAAATAACATATTGACAAAATATATATTAACAAAAAAAGAAATATATAATCGCATGTGCCGGTGCCTATACAGGTTGTTTTTTATATATAAAATATCGAATTTAATTACTAGAAACTAATTGATAGAATTAGGCGTTACTTTACGGAAATCGATTATAATAATTTGCAACCATCCGCTAAATTAATTTAGCGGACATTAAAACCATTATTTTTTTGTTTGATTTTTTTATAGGATAGGTTGACAAACTAGCACGCAATCCATTTGATGGTAAGTGGTTGCTGCAGCCCATAGACATCTACATCTATCCTCGATTACAAATCGAAATGCAGATGCGTTGTCACCTAAGTTGTAATGCCTCGTTTCCAGTAAAAAGGGTCTCCGGTTCTCTACACTCACCATACGAAAAACACACCAACGCTGGTATTCTGTGAGAGCGTGGTCCTTCCCCGGTCGAGCCGACACATTCGTGCTACAACTATACTACTAATATAACTGCAGCATGGCTCTACCACGTGTAAAATTATGGATATTATAAAGTAATAAAGATTTAAATAATTGAATAAGCCGATAAACATTTAAACCTTTATTGTAAAAATTTAATTTTATATCTTAATCTAAAAATCGAAAGCGTAAAAATACAATAATGTGAAAGTTAATAATTGAAACTTTCGCTTCAATCGAAACTTTTTCGTTGAAAAAAAATTAAGCTCGCAATGATGCTCTTAAATTGCTTGGTCATGTAAAAATTTTTCCTTTATTTAATGTAATAATTAAGAACGTTATGTGTATAATATATCATACGTGACTATAACCTAAAATTCTTTTCCTAATCTTATCTCAAGAACATATCTCTCATCATAACTCAATCAAGAACATAATAATCATTTAATTACAAATTTTCCTGTGACCTAGTCACCAAAATTAAATCCCCTGGGCATCATTGAAGTAACTTTAAATGCTGATATTACATGTACTCCATAATGAAAAAAACATCAATATGTGGCCATGCAAGTTGCATGCCCACAAAAAATAAAACAAAAACTTCGCCAGCCCGTTCTCTGAGCGTGGTGTCACCACCATCACCGTGAACTGTTTCTACTGATATTCCCTTAACAACGAAAGTAGACCTAATTGCCCAGCATTGCACTTGTTACTTGTATTAATTAAATTATCCCTTCTCATCCCGATTTTTTTTCTTTTTAAATTCACGATCAAAGCCGAAAACCGAAATGATTTGATTTTTAAAATTTGCAGTCAGTACTACCGATGATCATCTGCGGGCGAATCTAGGTGTAGCCATTGCGTATTGTTGTGATTGGGCTGAGAACCGACAGGAGTTTGGGAAGCGCGGCGCCATCACACCTTTGGTCAACTACATGACGTCACGCGACCCTAATGTCCACAGAGCTACAGCTCTAGCCCTCTACCATCTGTCATTTTACTCCATCAATTGCGTCACCATGCATGCTGTAAGTTT